ACTGCAACTACAGTCCAAGAGACGAAACGCACGAGACAAAATCATAGACCATGGTATGGAAATACAGGGAGAGGAGAGATGACGTTTACAATCTGGAAAAAGGAGAATTGAACGGAAGCAGAATTATGCAGGACTAAAAAGCGAGTAATTAATTAACAGGAAGAAATGAAACGCAAGCAGCGCAAAACGGTATGATTTGGGTATCGGGGGTATCGGGATCGGGTATGGGTATCATTCACGTCCACCTCGCCTTTTTTTTTTTTTTGGATTGTTGATTAAAAATTCTGATAATTCCCACAAGACAACCATGCATCATCACCGCGTACAGAGGGAGTGACGAAACAGTAGGGAGTGGCAAGTTGGAAATTTGGGTGGATCGAGCCAGTAATTAATTAGACAAGAAGAGCAAGACATAGGAAACAGAAGAAAAGGATAGGGGAAACACAGGCACACACGAACACACGAGACATATATTAGAGTGAGGTTTTTAGAGAACTGGATTTGGTTTTTCTTGTTCAAAGTCATGGCCATGCTCGTTAGGAAGTTGGCTGGGCTGCGTGAAAGATTGGTTTGATGGCGGGACAGTGTTGAGTGTTAAATTGGCTAAGGTGCTGTGTTCAGGGGATTTTTTATTTTATTTTTGTTCGGTTGATATCGTTATGCTGTAGACAAACCAGGACAGTGCAAATACCGCTGGTCCCACCACTTTTCGATTTCAACGGAGCTCGTCCTGGCGTCTGCTCTTCATGCGGCAGTGGGCACGGGTTGGGTAGCAGCAACAGGAGCGGGCTCAGAGGTGGGGGCCTCGGTGGTCTTGGGCTCTTCACCGTTGGCAGCCTGCTCGGTGGTGGTAGCAGCTTGAGTCTCGGTGACAGGCTCCTCTGCAATGGGCTCAGCCTCGGGGACTGGGTTGGCAGCAGGCTCCTTCTTGACAGCCTTGCTGGGCTTGCGGAAGAGTCCGGAGAGGGAACTAGATTTCTTAGTCTCGCCCTCGGGAGCTTCACCCTCGACTTCAGGCTTCTTCTCCTTCTTGCCACCGAGGTTGCCGAAGAGCGATGTACGGCGCTTCTCCTTGAGGCCGGGAACAACAGCATCGACTGCAGCAGTGGCAGTCTCGTCAGCCTTGGAGACGGCCTCATCAACCTTCTTCTCGACGGCGTCAGCGGCAGCCTTCTCTGCCTTCTCAATCTTCTCGGCCTTGTCAGACTTCTTCATGAAGGAGAGGAACTTGTTGCCCGAGGTTGGGGTAGTGACCTCCTCGGTCTTCTCGGCCTTTTCAGCGGTATCTTCAGCGGTAGCAGTAACAGTCTCCGGCTTGATTGGCTCGGAGGTTGAGGCATCGACAGGGTCGCCGAGCTGGGGAGCAGTGCTGGAGACAGCTGTGGTCTCAGAAACGGCCTCCTTCTTGGCCTTGTCCTGGTCTTCCTTGGGGAACTTCTGGAAGAAGCTGCCGAAAATGGAGGTACGCTTGGACTTCACAGGAGTCTCTGCCTTCTTCTCCTCTGGCTTCGCCTCTTCAGCAGGAGCTAACAAAATTGCAAATTATTAGTAAATGAGGGCTTATGGAATGTGATATTTTGTAAACCAGGTTAAAGCTTACCATCAGCGGCTGGCTCAGCAGCAGCGGAAGTAGAGGCCTCAGCGGCCTCGGCAGCGGCAGGCTCGGTGACCTCAGGAGCATCGGTCACAGCAGCTGGAGTAGTTTCAGCATCATCCTTCTTGACTTCCTTGTTTTCCTCAGTCTTGTCTTCCTCCTTTTGCTCGTCTTTCTTCTCTTCCTGCTCTTCCTTCTTTCCGAGGAAGTTTCCGAAGATGCTGGCACGCTTGCGAGACTGAGAGCGGCTCTTCTTGTCGTCCTTCTTCTCTTCCTTTGGCTCGACAACAGCATCAACGGCCTTATTGGCTTCGTCGGTCACCTTCTTGGCGGTGCCGGCAACAGCGGCAACGACGGGGACCTTGGCTGCACCACCGTTAGTCAAAACGATAAAATAAGCTTTAAATTGGGGGGTTACAAAATGGTCACGTACTGAACTTCTCAAGCTCGCTCTTGTAGCCCTCACAACCAACGATCTCCTCCTTGGCGGCCTTTCCTTCGGCAGACTTGGCCTCGATAGCGGCAATCCAGCTGTCACGCTCGTCAGCGTCGGCGGCCTGGAAGGTGTGCTTCTGGCCGTGGAGCTTGAAGATGAACTCGTTGCTGCCGTCCTTGGTGATATCGGTGACATCACTCTACAACTACGCGTTAGTTCAACTCCTCTCTGTTTTGCCCTTGAATTTATCTAGACCTCCAACATACCAAGTTGATGATACCAGCAGGGTTGGCCTTGTCCTCAGTGCGCTTGGCAAAGAAAAGAAGACCCTTGCCGGTCTGGCTGGCCCAAGCAGCGTTGGGGTGAGCAAAGCTTAGCTTTTCATTCTGGAAGTAGGAGGTGAGCTGCTTGCTCTCGACGGGCTCCTCGCTGAACCAGAAGTGTCTCTTGACAAAGCGGAAGCTCCTGTCATCCAGAGTCTTGTTAGTGTTGTTCTCTTCTTTTTTTTTTTCTCTCTCGTATATCCCCCTCCCTCGCTACCAAAAGCATGCACATATGTATCTGCCTTGTACTACTTACTTGACGAGTCCTGGGGCCTTGTATCCAAGCTGGCCGTCGGTGGCTGGGACGACCTCCTTAGCAGCAGGCTCCTCCTTAGCAGGCTCCTCGGCAGCGGGAGCCTCCTCGGTGGCCTTGGCAGGCTCTTCGGCGGGGGTTGTTGCAGCGACCACTGGCTCGGTGACTGCTGGAGTCTCGGTAGCGGCGGCGGTAGCGGCGGCGGTGGTCTCTGGGACGACGGCGGGCGTCTCCTCGACGGGCTTCTGGACTTCAGACATGGCTATTTCTTGTAGTCGTGAGCTCGTTGGGCGTGTTTTATTTTGTGGTGAACGGTGTTTTTGATGAAGCGGATATTAAAAGTAGCTACGGGCGTCCTTTTCGAGGGGCGGAAACGGGTATCTCGGGTATCACGAAGAAGCGAAGAAAGGAGGTGATTAAAATAGCTAAGAGAAGGCTCTCTCTGGTAATTATTAGATGGAAAAGGCGAAGCAAGCAAAAAAGAAAAGAAAAAGGTATCACTGGGTATCTCAAGAAGGCAGAAGCTGGAGCAGACGAAGGAGAAGAAGAAGAAGAGGAAGAGGAAGAGGAGGACGAGAGAGAAAAGGCCGGATTAATATTTGCGACAAGGAGGCCGTTTTTATTTTGCTCTTTTCCGCTTTGGGCGATAAATTACAGGGTAGAAAAAAAAAAAACAAAAAAAAGGGAGGAGCCCGTGAATTGTAAGGTAAGCGCGATACAAGGGCGGTAAGTTACGCTGGGGCGGGGCAGCCCCTTTTTTGCCCTGGTACCGTCATGACCGTACGCGTAATACCCGTACCGCGAGCTCCAGGCCGCTCACCTGACCCAGTTGCCCATAGCGCAGGCCGCGCTTGCTGCCTGTTTGGGTCTAGCGCCGCCTGTTCCCGCTGTCTGATCAGCGGTACCGTACGGTCAGTTACGTGACGTGACGGGCTGCTGTCCTCTTACATAAGCCCCGGAGATACCGCTATAGACACGCCAGAGACGCCATCGCAGCAGCGAGCAGAGCAGAGGGCAGATCGATGCAGGTACTCTGTGTCCTTCGTCGCTGGCCGCCGAGTCGCCGGCTGTCACTGCTCGAGTTATACAGTGCATGCATGCATGCAGCTCCGTGGGCGCGCGCTCACGTCTCCCCTAGGTTCTGATTCGAGAGAGTCGCTGCAGCCATGATGATAATAATAATACAAGTAAATACTAGAAGACCAGACGGAGGACCCCCTTGATACCACGTGACTCCCCTATTTCGGGTGGAGAACTCTCTTTTGTCTTGGCATCAAGTCACATGCCCATCGCTTTGTGTTTCGCCCGTTTTTTTGTCGCCCTTTCTGGGTTGTCCCTCTGGCGACGCTCCTCGCCGGGGGCCGGTTTGATAGACAGCGAGGGACGTTGGAGATGAGACGACGAGGATGCCAGAGGACGCAGAGCAGGGCCGATGTTGACTGTCGGTGGCGAGGCCAGCGGTGCCAGCAACGAATCGCCAGATGGAGGTGGTGTTTACCCATCCTTAGCACGCACACGCTATTGATCAGTGGAGTACACGGCAGAGGGCCAGAGATTGGATATACGGGAATTACAGCCAATACAGATAGCTAATACCTTAATTCGAAGACAAGATGGAAATTCGGTACCTGTCATCATAAGGTCGTTACCATATAATCATCATAAATTACTGCTATCGCGTAATAGTGGAAACACGCCGCTCGCTCGTTCGAGAGCTATGAAGCGATTTTGTGTGGTCTGCCCAAAGTGCCCCCTTTTTTTCCTTTTTCCTTTTTCCCTTTTTTTTTTTTTTGGGGTCCTTTCTCTCTGCGACGCTAGGCTAGGGTAGCTGTGGCCTTGTCACCAGGAGCTTCTACGACTTAGCAGGGCCCCTGCGTCAGGCCACTTGAAACAGCTGCCAACCAACTTGACCAGCTCCAATTTGAACCATTTGTCACGGTAGGCGAGGAGAGTGGCCTATAATCATGTCCAGACTTCGTCTGCTCTTGGTGAAGACTGGTAGCCTGGAAACAGGGAAAGGGGCAAAACACACCCCCTGGGCTGGTCAATCTCATGTTCTCCCTTGATAGCAAAGTGAACCGATGGGGCTGCGAGAAGGGGAAGAGAAAAAACTTTGGACCGCCGGCAGTCCACTCCGGGCACCTGCAATCAGCGTGTGGCTGTCAAAACATATCTAAAATGAGCTGTTAGCGCCGGTCGATCGTACAAGGGGAGAGAAACCATGGAGCTTCTTTTATCAATTTCTTTTGTTTTTTTTCCTCTTTACTTCTTCCCCCTAGCTAGTTATTGGACCCATGTCCAATCGTGCGTACAGGGGAGGATTTAAAGCCGTTTGCCGTGCAATTGATAAGGAACTCTTGATGCAAGCGGGGAGGGCAGGGAAGTAAGAAGAACTTACGAAGTGATGCTCTCCGTCCGCTCAGCTGTCAATTTCAAACACACTTTCAGCAACTCCAACGCAACGGTCGGCTCCTTTACCTGGAGTGTCTCCCACTCTTTCGTCCCTAGCGTCCAGACTACACAGTCACGTTCTACCCTCACGGTCGCACTGCGGCTCGTCTCACCAAAGAAGGACAGCTCGCCACATGGTCGTCCAGCCACGATGAGCTCAAAGTAGCTTCGCCCTTGTGGAGTGGCATGTTCCGCCCGTAGCATACCTGATTCCAACAGGTAGAACTGACCCGGGTAGTCGTTCTCGCGGTACAACACCGAAGATGCTGCAAACTCGGCCCGTGTAAAATATGGACACACGGGAAGCCAAAACTCTGCGGATTTGATGCTGAGACCCTGAAAGGTTTGGAGCAGCAGCGGGAGCGGCTGCTGCTGCTGTTGTGCTGGTGACAAGCGTTTGTGAAGGATCTTGCCCGATCGAGTGTCTTCGGCTTCCTCCCGTAGGAAATTGGACGCTAGCTGGTGAAGATAATAGCCGCGAGGAGTGTTGGCAGCCATGTCTGCCGCCAGTGTCTGGGCATGGGTCTTGTTTAATGGTTCTATATGAAACATGCCTTATTTAGCAATGATGATCCAACTCGTTATCAACGATGGGCACCACCAAAGGACGGACTTACTCAGGTTTCCTTCACCGGGGGATAGCCCGGCGGGCGGAGTCTCTTTGTGCTCGTGGATCGCCTTCAGGGCCTCATTCTCGCAGTGCTCAAGCGCAGAATTTAGATCTTGGAAAATTTCGACCGCATCGTCCAGCCCAAACAGGCCGACATTTTGCAGGCTTGTTGCAACGTCTCCCGCTATATCAAGCCCGCATACAAGCATGTGCACTCCCTTCTTTTTCAGTATCCTATTCAGCCTTGTAAAGGCTTCGGCTGCTGAAAAGTCTAGCCCGTTGACATATGAGAAATCAAGTATGAGGAATCTGATGGGCCGCTCGCTGAATGCTTCTGCATCCACCAATCCACGTATCCGCTTTTCGACACTGACAATGGTCCCGAAAAAGAGGAAACCAGCGAGCTTGATGACGAATGTCTGTTTGCCCGCTTCACGTAGGAACCTTGCGTGCAGCGGGTGTCGCCGAACGGTAGAAAGGGCCACTTGGCCTGTGTATGTTGCTGTTATCGCGGATTTTTGTGATGTTTGAGCCACAAAATTGACACACGCGAGGATGATACCCACAATAATACCCGCAACAATGTCCCATGCTCCCATCGTGACAACAATTGTTACAACCTAGTCCACCAATTTGAGATTAGCAGGTGGACCGTGCAAATTAGCGAAATTAGGCCACACTCACAGTCAAATACTCAAGCCTGTGCAACTTCCCCCACGTATCAACCAGTGCTTCCTCTAGAAGCTCAATTCCAAGCATATATATCAGGGCACCAACAACCATAATTGGAATATATCCAACTATACCTGGTCCAATGACTAGAATTCCAAATGTACCAACAGCCAACATGATTCCTGCTAGACGGTGATTGCCTCCACTGGCAATAAAAAGGAGACTGTTCGTGTATACAAGGTAGTTCTAGGCTGTTCGTTAGCTCTCGTTCCGGTAAAAAGAATGACGAAGTAAAGCCATACCTGCACACTACCAGCAAAGCCGGAAAATACATTGGAAATTCCATGTGAGACCAGCTCTCGGTCTACATTCAGGTGATCTTCACCCGTTGAAATACCAAGCGCAGGAACGTTAATGGGAACATGAAGAATGCCAAAAAATGTTAATGCAAACATGGCTGGAACAGTTTCTGCAAGTGCAGCCCAATGAACCGCCGAAAGATCTGTATCGACGGTTAACCTCAATCTTAGTCTGTCTCGTGGGCAGACAATACATACCGTATAACGTATAGAAATGGTACCATGGTTGTGAAGATGCAGGAGCATAAAAAACCCACCCTCCTTCCCTCAATGAACTCATAGAAACATTCGTAATAAACTTAACAATGTAAAAACCGGCCCCGATGGCTAAAAAGTAGGCACATAGAAGGAAATTAGAACGTATGAAACGCTTCAGAACAAGAAGACCAATTGCAAGAAGCAACGGAACGGTCCACAGTGGTATGGTATCAAGCTGGAAAAGCTTCTCTAATGTTTTGAGGTTGTATTCTAGATTGCCTGACAAACGAGCGGATATTTCGATACCAGTAACGACAAGGAACCATCCTACACCACCAATGCAGCCGATGAGAATGTGGCGGGGGAAAAATCCAATTAGGGAGCCAAGGCGGCATGCTCCCATGCTGAAGAATACAAGCCCTGTGAGTATGGCGCTTAGAGAAAATGCTAAAATTGTTGTTGCATAAACAGCTCGAGGGTCATCGTCTCCCACCCTGGTGAGAATTTGTGTTGCCATTGCGTGGAAAAATGGGACGACCTCAATCATCTCCGCGCCGATACCGCCTTTGAAGACCGAGCCTCCGCAGGAAAAAACCAACTGGGAAATGATAGTACTGACATAAAACATGGCAATACCGTCAGCGCCCATAGCAGCAAATATGGGCTCACCCAGCGGAAAGAGAATCATTCCATAGGAAAGGGCATCTAGGATGTTGAGAAGTAGGCCTAAGAAAACAGCTGGCAGTAGGCTGACGGGTAATTTTACTCCATTTTCATATATGGATTGTTTGTCCCACGTCCGTGGGTTGCATATGGTCTTTGCCCATGCAGGAGGTTTTGAGACCATCCATCGGCCTAAACTAGCTAAATCTGGTCTCTGGGGCCCAAAGTCTTCAGGGCCGCCAGGTATAGCACCATACTTGGAGCTGCTCTGAACTTTAATCAACGGTGCTTGCTCGGGATCTATGATCCGAGGCATAGATGCCACCGGGCGGTGACCAAGGGCCGTTTCCTCATCATCCTCATTGGGTTCTTGTATGGTCGTGTCTCTTCTAGATTGCACGGGGGCACTGGTAGACTTCTTCAACGGGTTTGTTGGGGACGATCGTAACATGGCAGTCAAGGCAGATTCACCCACGAACGAAGGGAAGGCGGATCCTCGGGGGGTGGTCGGTTCTGACCTTTCTTCAATGGCCTCTGGTCGGGACCGAGACCGAGTGAGACGATCTGACACTCCATCCCCAGTCCAACCTTCCCTAGCGAGTAAACCGCCAGTAGACGTAGATAGATCACTCGCATAACCGGAGAGTGACTTATGACTAATTGATTCGGCGTCAGATAGGGCTAGAGACTCGATCTCTGCAGTTCGTTCTCGAACTCCTAGTGAGGAGTATTGGGCGGTGTCTAAAGGATAGATAGCCGTTAGCTTTGTGCATCAAAAGGAGGATTAATCCGCGGTATTAGGTACGCACCCAATGGCCCATGAAATGTTCGATGGTAAAATGATCGTGTCGGTGTCTTCTCGCTGACAGACACACGGCGACGTAATGAAGCTCCGTTTGAAACGTCTGGAGCTTGCAAGAGATCCGAATTGTTACCCGCAGCCGTAGTTGTCGCACTCACTCTTCGATCAATAGCTGGGGCAGCATCTCTCAGGAAGCTTAGGTTGGAAAAGGTCGACGAACGGCGCCTGCCAGTGGCTGGGAGGGTTTTCCCCTTTCCTCCATCCATCCTGTTGCTTTCCACGACCCAAGAAAGCGAAAATGGCACTAAAGATGGAGGGCCAGAAGGGGTCGTATCCCAGGGCTACACCAAAATCCGTAGGCGGTGCATTCTAGTGGAAGTTATATTATTGAGGGGAAGCATGTACAAATGATGAGGCGATGGTTGTGATCTTGAATGTCTCCCCTCTTAGTGGTCTTGTGATAGCTTCTCCATACCAGACCTAGGCAGGCGGAGCAGGGAATGACGCAAAGAGGCTAACGAGGTACAAGGATGGCCACCAACCTCCGGGCGAATACGAAGTATCTTTTTGGGGCGTTTCCAAAGCGCTTCAGGTGCAAGCTTAATAAACAGTGGCCAGTTCCGGACAGTGAGAGAGGTCGGCAAGAGGGTAAAAACACACTGATTTGTCTTCCCGGCTGGCTCTCTTGTCTCAACATACTTGGTTATATCAAGGCCTCCCTGGCGATAAGATAGGCAAATGGATTCGATGACCCTGGCGATTGTGGCGACCATGCACGGCAGATACTGGGCTTTGACACCGCGCTAGTCGCGAACTATAATCAACACATATGGTTAGCCGGCTACAAGATATCTCTCCCCTCTCCCGGTCCCAGCCCCCGCCAGTAGCAGGGGTAGCTTTATGGCAGCATGGACGGTTTTACTTCTTGCCAGTAAAGTATCCACGGGCTTCGTCTGATGGCCGATGCTCACGCCTCTTCTCGCCCTGCGAAGCGGCCAAGTCAAGCTGAAGTTGGAGTTGAAGTTCGGTTTCGATGCCAAGACCGACGCTTATCTCAAAGCTTTTCTTGGCAAACCTGATGACTAAGACGCACGAGCCGCATGCTTTGACTGGTTATGTAATCTAAGCTGGTAAACATCAACATCGTTTGCTGCGAACGTATTTACTCACGAGCAAAGGAATCGATGAAGACAGAGGCCATGAGATAACTTTCACCGTCAACGTAATGTCTAGGCCTTACCACCATATAGCCAAAGCAATATTACCAACTGCAACTCGGCAAGAAATAAGGAGCATAGGAAGACGAGTAGCATTCTAAAGTGTTGGTAGGCGTAACAAGTGCCGACCAACAACACAGGCCGGATGCCCTAGGTGCTTCTGTGACATACTCATATTAACACAGGATGTTTCGTTCCACTAACTGATAATAAAATCAGCCCTACACTGGAACTTGGCTCCAGATCCACCAAATATGGACGCAGGGGTCGTCGTCGCAACCGATGGTCGTAACCCACTTTTCGTTCTCATGAAACTCCCAAGTTTACAGGTTTAAAGACGGACGAAAGGTGTAAAAGTGGGAACAACAACCCAGCGGGAATGCAACTTTTGTGCCGTTAAAGATTTTGGAAGATCGTTTCTTCAGTATGGTGAAGGGAGAGAGCGAACTACGGGGCCTTATCCTCAGCCTTGAGACACCATTTGACCCGAAAAGCCACTAAGCCATGCTGATGCAGAGAGCCGATGAGTTAAATACTTTCAATCCTTCGGGAATGGCACCCTAAAGGAATTTTCTATGGTGATTTCAAGCCTGCCAGTTTCCTTGTTTGCGTTGATATACGGCTCCGAATAAATGACTTGAGCGAGTCGGAGGACAGATAAAGACCCTAATTAGTGGGATGATATGACAACAACGAACGAAGTATCACCAAAGAAGGCTCAGTACTGGCCTGATTTAACCGATCCGTCTCTAACGATTGAGGATGGTCTCTATGGAGTCGGGGTGACAATCCGGGAAATTTGCATTAAAACCTATCCTTTGAAGACTGGTATAGTGATGACGGGACGTGGTATCTTAACAGTAGGAAGCCCATGGATGTTGGTGAAGTAGAAGACCTGGAAGTACGGAACATCATCTGCGATTATCTTCGCTACGGCGGTGCCAAGATATAGTTGAGGAGCCCAGTGATGGAAATGCACGCGAACAGCCTCTGTTAGTTGTCAACCGAAGATAACCAGAGTGATATTACTGGCTATTTCGAAGTTTGATCATTTTGTTTCGAGCTTTATTGATCGATCATTTACATTTGCCGCTCGGATATATCGCACACTAGATACCCAGTGACAAGGGGTAATACACTGGATAGTTGGCTGAGTTGGACTCCATATGCTGATGTATTGAAATCTACCACTCTTACATAACCTTTTAAATTTTTCTCGGTTTCAGGTATTCTTGCACAGAACTCCTATCAACTGCTAGATTCCCGTACTAAAACGGAAGACGATCTCCCAATGCCATTAGGAGGAATTTACGAGAGATTTTACCCCGATAGTTAACACTTGATGGAGTATTGAACTGCTATTTAGTTGGCTACGTGAAACTAGATCGGCTAGTGGTTCATCTATCAGTCGTCTGTGACAGTCAAACCATACCTTCATTCTTACTATCTAGTTTGCTAGTACGGTTACTTTACCCGTGCGTGGGAATAAAACTAGCAACTTTTATCGACATTTATTCAAAGTTGCATTTATACGCGGGTGGAAACCGGTAGCCCACGGTGATCTAGCAGTATGGTTTCCCCATAACCATCTGGGAGCTGATTCCAACAATAAACCAGGCTCTAAAGGTATATATCAAGAATTTTCGGTTCATTTGCTGTCAAAGATCCCTGGTTGGCGGAGGGGCTTGAAATACTGGCTAAAGCAGTTAATTTGCAGACTAGGCTGTATCCGCGGGAATATCATCTTGTCTGTCTTCGAGATGGTGTAGTGAGGCTGTTTGTTGGTGGGATGACGCAAACGCAAAAAGAAGGCTAAGGAAGGTTGACACAACGTGGCAGAGGCGAGAAGGAATTCCCGAGTTTGGCTTCTTGAATACCACGGTTGCAGCCATCTTTCTGCGGGCAAGTAGCTGGTTGGATGGATGATGGAGGGGCCAAAGGGGGTTATAGGGGATCGAAGACAAGAGAGGGAATAATCAAGGGGATCAGAAAGGGGACTATGGACGATTCGATTGTTCGGGCCTGGAACGGGGAATAAGGTTGCCGATTTTCTTTGACTTTGGAAATGTATACGGTACTTCCAAGACCAGTGGCCATTCAAAAGTCAAGTCATTCAACATTAGTTTTCTCGCACATGGCCTAGCTTTGGCGAAGAAAGAGTGATTTTCAATTTAATCGTTGAAGGTAACCTTGGGTGATTAGTTGCTCTACATCCCCCAACCTCACGAAGAACTGACTATTCTTTGTCAAATTGATCGACCTATGTATCTCCCGAAGCGAAGAGTTCAACGCCATTAGCCTTCGAGTACGGATGCAAAAGTGCTAGACTAGAACCACGTGGGTAAAGGTTGAGCCATATTCGGAATGAGACCACTTACCCGTATTCAGTCTGGATTTCTCCAGCATCCTTCAGAACCCGAACGTCGATGTATAGCTCCTTCGGTGGTTCTAGGCTACCAGTTAAATCAACATCAGTCCAGTGGCCCTTGTACGCCATCAACATCTCATTGTATTGTCGAAAGTATTCCTCTTCCACTGGTGTGAGTGAACTGTTATAATGCGCATTCGAGAGGGGCGTTCTATCAGTTCTGGGTGTTACATGGTCTTCGCTATTGTTGTTCCCACTCTCCATCTCCCGCTGTCTTTGCTGGTGTTCTAGCGGGTCTATTCCATTCCAGCACATTTCTTCTATTTTCTCTGCTCGAATTCTATGGTATGCGAGTAGACAACGTTTGTTTCGCCTCATTGATAAATGGTCGACTAATAGAGCGCAGGCGGTAGCAGGGTCATCCGCGGGGTTAAAAGATGAAGGGGGATTGCCTCCATCTTCTCCCTCTGCAGCAGCTCGTGCTTGCTCCAGTTGTTCAAGAATACGGCTCACATCTTTGTCGAGGTCACGAACTTCGCGAGTCACGGCTTGGACAATCTCGCGTTGGTAGGGGGGTAGGTATGCGAGGGACTGAGTGCGTTTGGCATGTTGAATCTGGAGAAATTAGCATATTGCACAACTAATCTGCCTTAAATATACAATTATACTCCGTACACAGAGCAGACCAACATACCAGCTTGGTCCCCAAATCACCATACATGTTGAAGACGGATGGGATAGAACTGCACGCTGGATTCAATTAGCCGAAATTAGAGAGTGAGCCAAGAAAGATGTAGCTCTAGCGGCCTCTTGTAGATGGGTGAATTCGCTCTCTGTATATGTATGTCCTTCATAGTCAGGGGATGCTTCAATGAGCAAACGAGAAAAAAAAGAAATGCCTTGTTGAATTGCAAAAAGTCGAGCGCAAAGCGCACGCGTGACCGAGGGCTTAGTTAATTGACTTAGTTATCGATAAGCCCTAACCAGCTTATGAACACTGAAACAAACTGCGCCAAGCCACCAGCAAAGATTGAGCCTCAACACCAAAAGCCAACGTCAAGTGTTTCACGATTTTCTTCCTGTCGTGAAGTGAAGATATGAAAGCGAATCAAATCCCATTCTCTGTGAAGAGTGCACTTTCTAACTAAACTAATTTATTACGGAAAATATTCGAAAAACACAAAGTCACTATTACCAACCCAGATGATGATGATGATGATGATGATGCAAATGTCTCATGAATGGAAAGGTATCCAAACGCAACGAGAAAGCCTCCGATGGCATAAGCATGAACATGAGATAGTAATAAGGAAGGGAACCAGGGAGCCGTGCGGAGTAGAGGGAAGGGAGTAATATGAAAAAAAAAAAAAAAAAATGTGATACCAAGGGAAGATGCCGATGCTCAAGTAAAGGAACAAAAGGGAAACAAGGGGAGTCCATTTTGGTATTTTCCAATCTCGACTCTTAAAAGAAATCAGGTTTCATGATGGAGCCGATAAGGGGGGAAAGGTCGGATACCATGATGATAACGCCAGTATTCCAATCACTCCTCTGTGCGCCTGCCATCCGCATCCATACCATATATTCGAAAGAGCCGCAGTTGCCGGTGCCACCGTGAAGCATGAAACACAAATAGGGGAATAAAGGAGAGAAACCTTTGCAATAAAACATGGGAAGAAGGGGAAATTGAGTTTGGAGGGAAAGGGGCATTGACGTTCACTTTTGTCCAAGGTTCAACTTGCCAACTGTGTTTAGTTTACAGTTGATCCGCCAAACCATTCGTTAAGTTCTTCGCCAGGAATGGTATGGGCATTCGGCCACATAACACGGTCAGCCACTAAACCAGTGGCCATTGAGGACGGCGGGAGTGCTGCATGATGATACTGGTCAGTTTCAGGGGTCGACATGTACCCTGGAACATAGTGCTGGTTGCTAGTGGAGTTGAATTGCCAAAAATCATTTTGATTCCCAAAGCTGCTACCCGTATCTGTTGGAAGTGATGTGTTTGTTGGCTCAAAGTCCAGTAACTGGGGATCAACCTGGACTTCACCCATAGAGACGGACATTCTGTTGTGATTTAGTGGTTGTGGCTGAAGAAGGTCTGGATGGGTGCCACCTGGCATATTAACCATTGAAGCAGTAGCATCATAGGCCACTCCGCCGGGCATACCGATCTTTTTGTATGTCACGTCTTCGATGTTGGACCCAAGAAGGCTCTGGTGGATCGACGGCTGGTAGTAATGGGTCTGCTCCGGCTGTGATATAATACCAGGATGAGGTCTTCCGGGGTTGATCATCTCCCAAGACGAGCGGTTAACATCCCCAGTTCCGTAAATGTCGATCTGTAAATGCGGGATAGGAGTGCAGTTGCGGCTGTCATAAGTACTGTCGTTGTCGCATGGAGTGGAGTTTCTGCTATTACTAGCGTCGCCATTGGGGCCCAAAGTTCGTCGCCTGTTTGATGGACGGGGGTATGATGTGATATCACATGGCTGGTCTTCGAAGTCACTAAGTTCGTCCTCGTGGGAACGCTTCTTTTTGGATGCAGAGCCCGGATTCTTACTCCCATTCTGGTTCTTCGACGTGCCCTGGTTTTTGTTTGGAGCGAATTTGTAGTCTGGGTGTGCCTTATGGTGATTGTCTCGCTCTATAGTTGCATAACCTTCATACAAGTCTCGAATCTTTGGAGGCTCAAGTGGCCAGCTCTGTCCAGAGGCTCGTGAAACAACTTGATGGTTGTTCTGCGCACACCATTCCTTTGTCCGCTCCGCATAGGCTGATCGGTATAGCATGAAGGAGTTCATGGGGCGGGCGATCTTGCCGTTCTTTGACTTTACTTCCTCCAAACGAGTCTCCTTTGGACGGTTAACCCAGACGGCCATATCACGGATGGGGATATGTAGCATGTTTTTTGTCAGCTCACTGAGCGGAGCGTCAATGGTTGGCCCATCTCCCTTGTCAGCCTTCGCTGGCTTTGGTCGTCGTCTGAGCTTTGCTGGTCTTATTATACGGACTCTATCGTCAGTATTGGACTTGGCGATAGCCAGCTTCTCTTTGAGATCTTCTACTGTCTCGCCAGCACTGAGAGTGGCCGGTACTGGCATTTCTCCAGCGCGGTGGTATGTCTGTGACGATTGAGAGAATTAGCAGCTATTCTTTCTCTTCCAACTGGTATTAATTCTGCTGTATATCTCACGGTCGGGCTGCTTACCAGCGCTGGGAGCGAAGTGTCATGTTCACCACTAGTCATACCGCGATACATAGAGTTGGATTCATACCCATTCTGCTATATCCAAACGTTTCTCTGTTAGAAATAATGCTTTATGCCAGGCCGGGAATATATATATACTGACCATTGGGCCACTCATAGCTGGAGTACTAGCTTCCAAATAGCTATAAGAGTATGGCTCCCCTGCAGGAATATACCCAAGCTGCTGCTGCGGGTGGAGTTGTTGTGGTTGGCTATGAGAGTATGTCTGAGGGTATGGTTGTTGTAGTTTCTGTGGGTGTTGCTGGAAGCCAGTCTGTGATATTGCCTGCGGACTAAGCTTAACGTCACCGTCATTCGATGGTGGAGGAGAAGGAGGCTGCTGGTTAAACATGATTAACAATAGCAGAAGGACAAGCCTTTCTTTTCTCCTTTGCTGGCTTTTTAAAAGAAGGTCTGTGTGCCTATTAAGAGTGCAGGAAGGCAGATAAAAAAAGGGAAGGGGGCGTATTATCAGGAAGAAGGGTTTGTTTGCAGGTTATGAATGAAAGATTTGATTGCAGCCCTGAAGAGAAGAGGGGCTAACAAGAGGCGAAGGAAATCTCCGCGACAGTGACAATAGGCTGCTCTCAGATTGTTTTACCTCAGTTTGGGTGCCGTCACTGGATGTCTGGAGGGTGCCTTGCTATCCAGATTGGTGTTTCATTTGGGTAGAACAGAGACCGCTTGATCAGGAAGACTGGAGCTATGGCCAGCGAATCGAGATCTTTCAGGGGCTGCGGCCAAGGGGACAAGAAAAGAACACTTCCTCCACAATGAAGAGGGGATGAGAGCTGCACCTTGGCCCCAGCGTCGCTGTTTGAGAAGCAGGATATATCAAAAGCCGGGAGCGGTTGACCTCCTCGCGGTTAGTGACTGCGCGGGAGTTGAGAATGAGGAAAACGGCGAGGTGAGGTGCCCGCAGGGAATTCTCCTGCAGTCGGTGAAAGAAATAGCAGGAAAACGGCCGAATCCGGAACCGTAGCAGGAGATGCTAGTGGGATCTTCCGGCAGACGAGCTTTTCCAGGTGAATATTGGACGGGAGTTTCCTCTTCTCTGGCGTTCTTTTTGTCTTCTGGGCTTTGCTTCCCCTCCAGTTGGGCAGGCTGATTGATATACTCCCACGCCAACCAGGACAGCTGATAATGGTAGCAGTGAAAGGCCGAAGTGAGAAGGGAGTGAGAAGGGGGGAGTGAAGGCCTAAGAGCAACTAAGGGGATGGGGGAAATAGACAGAAACCTCCCTGAACTGCAAACAATATCGCAAAAATGCCGGTGGATACCCAGATTGTTTCTCTTCTGCTTGGTAGAATAGTTATTGCAACCACCCGTTTGGCAATTCAGAGAAGCAGAAAACAGAAATTTGACCAGATTCGCAAAGACCCTATCTCAGAGTCTTACTTAAGAGTGAGTTGAAGAAAAAAAAAAAAAAAGGGCCAACTGCGAATCAGAGACATGCAGGTTGGCCAGCTTGACCTGACCGTTTCTTTTCCTAAGATCTAAAACATGGCATTTCCAGCCTAGTCAGCATATCCGTGTATTGACTCTTAGCTCTGTCTTCTCTGGATGCAGGCAGGATACCATTGACGAAACACGGCACCTTGTGAAGAAGATTTGACAGTAAGGGGGTTCTCTATGCTGGTCTTTGTTGGATGAGATTGATCTTTGTACTGACCTGGCAACGGATGCAGAAGAGATAATGGCAGCCTCACCCCAGGTTTCCTTGCGCCCTTTTTCCGCTTCTTGCTATCTTCTATGGATGCTGGGATAGCCGTTGAAGATACTGAAAATAGGCCGCTTTGTGGACGAAGCGAGAGGGAAGAGTTTCCGTATCTCTGCTCCTTTTTGCGCGCTGCTGTTTGTTTCCCTTCTCTAGTTCCCCGCCTCTCCGTTTCAACTGTGGACAAGCAAGCTGGAGATATTTTCTTGTCGAAAGCAATTGTTACGCGATGATGATATGTTGGTTGGTTGGCTGGCTGCTTGATTGATGGGAGCCGTTGGACTTCGATTGAGAAGCGGACTGGCCCTTGATCCTCGACACTGGTGAGGGAGAGCTTGTTTGCAGAAGTAAAGTGGGAGAGCAAGGGAGTGATATAAAGAAGAGCCCTTTTTAAAAAAACAAAAAAAAAGCCTACGGAGACGTGAGGGTTCCACTCATGTCGATATAAGCAAGGCCATGGCTGGGAACAGAGGAAGGGAAAAAAAAAAAGCAAGCAGTGGGAGGAAAAAGCAAGCTCTTCGAGATGGGGGAGAGGGATGGCGATAGTTAATTAAGCCGCCGGCGGATATGTATGTATGTACGTATGTACGTATGTATGTATATGTATAGAGGGAGCTAGAGATCGAACGGTACATTGAGACATGCAAGCCGGGCAGTGGTTGGAGGTTTATTTTTTTTTTCTCATCATCTGCAAAGCATAAAGGGACCGCTTTAAAAAAAGAAACAGATGAATAGCTAGCGAGTTCTGTCCATAAGCACAGGAGGGAAAGTCTGGGTGATAGACATGGCTGGAGCAGCTAGGCTTGCAACTTTAGGGGCCCCGAACTCTTTGCTTTTGCTGCTTTTAGCCTGGTTCTACGAGATGTGTTTTATGTGGAGATATCAGACAGTTTAGTTAGTTAACTTAGTTAGCAGTCAGTTAGTTCGTTAACTAACTAGGGGGGAAGGGTGAGGAGTGAGTCTGCCTGTTAATAGAGCAGACCGAAGTACTGGCTACCTCGATACCTCATCCGGCTCCCCACCATTCGTGTATCCCGTACGCCTTGTACCCCCCCCCTATGCCCAACGAGGACGGTACTTTGGGCGAAAGGCTATGGACCATACCCGAGGTCACTGAGACGGCGCCAGAGTCGAGAAAGAAGTTGGATTTTTTGCCTTCTGCTTAGTTAGTGATCTCGGAAACTTCGTTGCGTAGAGTGTTGAAGACCTAACTAGTTAAGTATAATCCGCGATGCCAGAACGGTACGCTGTAGCTCGCCGTGATGGTGGGCGGAGTTGGCGGGCAGGTTGGCAGACGAACTGACAGACACGCAGGCGGGAAAAGAATCTGACATGGACCCTGACGGCCTGTATATTTTCTTATTCTTCTTCCTTTCGATTAACCTGACTGAGCAGGGTAATCTGGATATGCCAGCACGTTTTTTTTTTTTTTAGTTTTGTATTTTCACCCGTCAACCTGCGTTGCTATACATGGGGAGTAAAAAAAAAAAAAAAAAAAANNCTCAAATCGCACGATAGAGCCAAGGGGTGGTTGTTTTTTTTTCTCCTTCCCGTTGCATATTTTGCAAAAGAGAGACGATGTTGGACAGCCGGACTCGTCCAGGATGCTCCTTGAAGCCGATCCTGACATGGTGATCAACGCCTTTTCTCCTGTCCCCCTCGGCCTTGGTGCACATCGAGATGCAGAGAGTCATTCATCAGCATGCGGTACCGCATATGGTAGAAGAAAGATAGTTACGGGAGGGCAGCAGAGGGAGATATGGACCCCAACTGGAAACATGCATATGCCACATAGACATACGCCCGCTCTAAACCTGGGCGGTGATCTCAAGAAACGGTACGCCAGCCGATCGCCTCCTCCTAACTACCTGTGCATCAACTGTTTCTGTCTTTCCAACTCCCCTTTTCACCGGCTGCCGGATAGTGTTCCCCCATGTCATGTGGAGGAGATGCGCATCCAGAGACAGAGACGAGCGAGAGAGAGAGCCATTAGGGGAAGAGGAGACTTGGTTAACTACGGAGTAGTTAGTTAACCAAATTTGTTTCCAGCAACCCCCCAGAAAAAGAAACGAGAAGAGAGTGAGAGAGCAGAGCCAGCAAGAAGAGAGAGAGAGAGGTTGCGCTGTGGGTACAGAGTACATTGGGCGGACCTATCTGAGCCAGGATGAAAATTCCTCAATATCACACCCCAGGCCGGCGCCCTGACTGGCTTCCGCTGTGGCGGGTTCGAGGCCTGCCCTGCCCTCGCTGCCCGCTGGCTGTCCAGTAAAGGAGGAGATGGAAGAGATGAGAGTTCGGCCGTACCAGTCGATGCTCAGCTCAGGTGTGAACAAACCCTGGCCTGGTCTGGCCTGGCTTGCCAACTACACTTAGTAGTGTGCCGCTATTATTTCTTCCTTTTTGGCGCTTTTCCCCTCCTCTGCTCCCGCGGCCTTCCTTTACCTGTGCAAGGCTTATGTTTGACTAATAATGTTTTGTCTTCGGCGATTGAAGGGTTTTCTTCTGGCACATCGCCGAGTCGAAGCAACCTCTGGAACGGGGAAGGGAGATGATGATTGACGCCGCAAGCAATATGAAAACGGCCGGCCTTGTTTCGGAGGGGATGAGACTTGAGATGCGGAAGCCAGCAGACGCTGTAATTTGGATGCTGCCCCTGCTCCTCTCTTCCTGCTTCTGCCGCTAACCAACGAACCAGCTGGTTAGTCAATAATGGCTATGCAGGCTGGAAGAAGAGCCACTGGCTGGCTGCGGCGTTGACGGGAGCAAACGACCACATATCGCCCTGCGACTGACGGCTTTTTCTTTTTCCCCCCCTATGAGGGAAAGCAAGAGGACTGCATGACGGCCACAATATTATTATTATTATTATTATTATCTAATAGTTGGGTCTGAGTACGCAGCAGATGGCCGTCCAGGCGGCCGCAGACGGGGGTTGTCAGGGCAGAACCGTTGCCCGGGGATGCGCTATTATCTTCCTCCATCCGTTTGTTGGCTCCTTTTCTCCTCCATCTCTGATGTCCCCACAGGCGAAGACGGGTGCGCCAATAAGTAGTTAGTAGGAAACGGTCCATGTTTGTTTGTTTCTCCTCCGTCCACTACCTGGCCAGTGGTTAACTTGCTCCGTAGTTGAGTCTTCTGCGGCGGTGGAGAGCAAGCAACAGTGCGTTCGTGATCGGCCGCTCGAAGCTTGGGAGGCTGTGGAGAGACGCAAGGCCGGTGGAGGTGGAGATGGAGATGGAGATGGAGATGGAGATGGGCCGCCTGTCGCAGCAGCTAGTAGTATAGTTAGTTAGTTCAACCACTGACAGCAGCTAAGTTAATTAACGAGTTACAGTTCACTATCTATCAGTTTTGCCCCTGGCTTTGAAACACCGCCCGCCGTGCTTCTGTAGCCGCAGCGCAGCAGCAGCGTTGATGCTTTCGGCGAGGCAGCCAAGTTGAAGCTGGCATCCACAGCCGCCTAGTTAGCTACCAGGCTGTTAGTTAACTGACCACGGAGTCAAGTAACTAGTTAACTAACTAGAAGACCAGTTAGTTAGTTAGTTAACCGGCTTGGGGGCCGCTGCTCTGGCAATCGTCAGGCCGAATCCACCGGAGGCCCCGAAGCCCTTACTAGCGCTCTCACGCTCGTCGACCACGGTGATGCTTGCTCGCCCGGGGGGGTGACACCAACACATAACTGTCGTTTTCAATTGGCAAAATGCTGGCTGGAGATCCGATCTGCTGCGGAAGATGGAAAAAAATATGACCTGTTGCCCCAGTTGATGGAGCGAGTATCTGCCCCAGGCGCCCAGCATGAGCGTCCTGGGACCGGATAGATAGATGCCTCTGCACCCAGGCCTGGGGGCTGGGGAACAGAGAATCCGTCGTTCCATTTCGCCAGAGTGCCAATACCCAACCGCCCCGTCGGTGTGATTGTATGTCAGATGACAAGCCATGCTCCAGGCAGCCGGTTGCTTCTCTGCAGCGTCTTCTTTACCGCACCACCTGCGCTTTTCCCTTCGAGTGACGAAGGAGACGGTTCTGCATCGGCCAAGCGCGCGCCCACATCGACTACCCTCCCGTCCCCATTAGCTAACTAGGCACCAGGTCAATTTGATCTCTTTGACCGGAGAGACCTCCGCGGCGCTTCTTTGAGGGGCCGTTTCTGCTCGATGCAGTTGCTGTCCTTGCAGCGCCCATCAGCAACGCCGAGCAGGGCCAACCACATATTCAGCACACCTCGAAGAGATTTGGCCTGAGGCAGACACCCTGAGGTCGATCGATAGGCAAAGAATATAGATCCATCTCGTTGCCGTGGTGAGCCGGGATGTATCATCAAAGAGACAGCCACCTGAAAGTGACATGTCGACAACTCCTGTAATTATTATATTCGGGATGGGGAGGGCAGGGAGCCGTGTATACTTCCCAAAGCGGTAGTCCAACGAGGACAGCGGAGGTGTATCCTCTTTTCCTCTTTTCCTCTTTTCCTCTCCCCTGGGATCCCCTGCAGGAAAAGGGTCGTTGTTCTCATGATGGCGTCCCGATGTTATTTTTGCTTTGCTGTCTTCGGCACCCTCCGCCGCCATCAAAAGCAGCCCACATCATATATGTATAACTAGTTAATTCTCCAGATAACAGCCTATGTAACAACCCCTTATCCCTAGAGTCGGAATATTTCCCACTCGCCCCAGATCCCTTGTGCAGAGTTAACTATTCGCTTGCGACTGACTAATTATCCAGAGCCTTCATGTTGAAGCAGGCTTCGCCAGCTACGATTCCCTCGCTACCATCCTTTTTCCCTGCGTACAAGTCCAGCCGAGACTGCTGTCTCTTCAGGATTTCATCAGGGTGGCTCCTGGGGGACATGCAAAAAGCAATATACGAATGACTCGCAAGAGAGAGCAGCAAAGAAACCCGGCCTAACCGTTATGTCGGGACGATTTGAAAATAGCGATTGGCCAGCGCTGATCTAGACCATGAACCGCGAGACGCCCTGCCATCCTCTCTTTCCATCGTCGACGTCAATATCTTCCCCCAGTCCCCTGTTGCATGTCCAGCTAGGATTTTAAAGTCCCCTAGTGTGGTTGACACTGAACTTTCTTTCCTGCTCTTCCCAAGTAGTTAGTTAGTTTCTTTTCTTCTTCCTGCGCTCTGTGCTGCTTGCTCACCTCACTGCGCTTTTGCTTTTTGGCTGTCAACTAGCCGCATGTGTATATAGCTCGTCCTTGGAAGGCGAGGGAGGCTGCACCCCAGGCTTGAGCCCCTTGCCGAACATCCCATCGGCTTGCCATTTCGATCCTAGCTCCAGCCGAGGCCACTCTAGTGCTGGCTTCCATGCTCTTCTGCCGTCTCGGAAGAGGGTCCGAAAAATGCCTTTAAGCCGTAAAGGGTTAACGGATTCCTCTGCATGAGGAGATTTCCCTTTTTTTGCTTCTGCTTGTGCATATGATAACACG